AAAGAGTGAAAGCAAGAAGGTCAAAGAAAAACAATGCATAACCTACTTAGCGGGCTTGAGTAAATGAACGGCAAAACAGAGATTAGGAAAGATTGAAAAAAAATGAGCTAAAAAGGAACGGAAATTGCGAAGAGCCATGATCGCCAACGCAGAGAATTGAGACGACACATAGAAGAAAAATTTTAAAAAAGACCCCGGTTTATTTTGTTCCTTTAGTCGAGTAAAATAAAATTAAAAAATAGATGTTCGTATAAAGGTGTTCATTTGACTACTGTTGCCAAACTCGAAGCGATATAGATGCGTCACGTTTAACTTTCTCAACAAATTTTTGAAAGGACCCTCACCCCTGACTCAATCCATCTACTCTCAAACGGCTCTCTTTGAATAAAAGAACGTGTGCGTCTTCATGTTATCACCTCTGAATGCACTCTATTTTTTTTCATATATATATATATATATATATATATATATATATATATATATATATATATATATCCAAGTAGGATGACACACAAATGCAAATTTTACATGTTTCCAGTGTAATATCCTAAAAAATATATATATATATATATATATATATATATATATATATATTGTGATGTGAGGAATATAGCATCAATCAGCGAAGGGACACATTTTATATTTGTATTAATCATTCACACACACACACACACACACACACACACACACATATATATATATATATATATATATATATATATATATATATATATATATTATAAATTTACTTATTTAAAAGTATGGTTGCATCGCTACACAGAAATTACCATGTTTTAAAAACAGAAGCCAAAATCTTCAAATTTAATTATAGAATTAAATTAAATTAAAAAATTAATAGAAAATACGGTTGTATCTCGCTATTTCAACTGCAAAAAGATGAGACCTTGTCGCCAATTTAGTACTGCGCTTAATTTTACATACCAAAGAGGAAAACTCATCTGAACAATTACCATGAAATATATTTATATTTATAGATAGGGCACAGGGAAGCTACGATACATTATCTTGACACGCTACCTCTCGGACCGTAATGGATTACTTGTTGCTTGTCTCCCTCTTTTCTCTCCCACCCCTTTTTATCTCTCTCAGCTCTTCCTTTTTATACTGTCCACGTAGATCAAAAGAAATAGAACCTTGATTTCGAGCGGAAATTCGTTTAATTGGTTGATAACGATTATTTTATTCGGAGAAAGCCGGAAGTGGATGTGTAGAGCCACCGACTCAGAAACGCATTTTGTGATTCGACACGAGCTGTTTACTTTGGACTCCAGCAAATGTAGCAAATACGACAGGTTAAAATCAAAATTGCAAAACATAACATCCTAAACGGCCGTTTCCACTCACTGATATTTATGTCTTATACTCCTCACAAGTCGAAGGATTGTTTTGTGGTATCAGATTCCACTATTTAATCACAGCACTCAATTTTCTCGGGGTTTACGCCGTAGAAGCAGAAAACCGTCGCTTTAACTGATCCCACAATGAGTTATATTATCATTAGTGAAGACAACCATTAGTGGGGCCACTATAATGGTATCATTAGTATCGCTGGTTCCCAGACTTCATGAGTTCAAGCGCCCTACGAGGCTGGCATACCGCTCTCACACTTTCACTGTCGAAACTCCTAAATGTAGCTGTCTTTTCTACTCCAATAGCTTCATGTCTCGCACCTCTCGCCTGTGGAACTCCCTTCCCTATTCCAGTTTCCCTGAGAGCTATAATCTCCAGCTATTCAAATGTAATGTCAATCGACATCTCCAGTTGCTTTGATCTATCCACTACCCTTCTCCTCATCCTTTCTTCTATCACTCCTATCTGATCTTCTGTAACCCCTTGCGTCCTTGTGGCTTCTCGCCTTGCTTGGGGTGAAACGCTTAAAAAAAAATCTCACAGGTCAGTAATGGTTATATCAAAATTGTTTTTCATGTTGCAGGTTACTCCGACAGAATGGTTTAGATCAATTGTAAATGTTACATCCACGTAAACTATATCTGCTGACGCTGATCATTTGGTATAAATTGATTCATCAATAAACAACATTATCACCCACTGTTGCAATGATCACCTTCATTGGAATATATAACCACTGTTTAGCTTACAATCCATATGGTGAAACCTTTTCCATATTGTCTATCGAGATTCTCTGGCTTTCCTGAATTTTCAGTGATATTCAAATTTACGCCAGGTTTTATACTTTTGTAAAAGGTCCGTATTCCTTTCATGCAAAGATTTTTATTTATCCTTGTTTTAGGGATGATACACTACTTACAGCAAGAATAAAAATACATCGTTTGATGTTGTATATCAACCGTTGATAGCGTCCATCTACACCATTTATCAGTGTCATATTAGATTTTGCAGGAGAAAATATGTTTTTTTTTTTTTTTTTTTGTGTGTGTCATTGGGGAAATCATGTGATACAATCTGATGTGTTCTGTGTTGTACTATAAGTTGACGCAAATGATAACTGAAAATATACGGCGATTTGACCAGGTCACTATAATTCAAATCACGCCCGATATAATCTTTGCAAAATTCTCACTTTTCTTCATAACCGATTTTTTCTCTGTGTTTTCCAAAAAATATTTGATTTCTGTCTACAAATATATTTTACAAAAAACTTCTCTTGTTTTTCGAATGTCATGGCTTGATTTATATTTACGGTACTGGGCACCAGACTGCAGCATGGAAGATAATAATGGTCATGGTAATATCAGCCGTTTCCTTATAAGTAAATATTTGGCAACCATTGAGCGAGCAGCCACCTTCTATCGAAATGTTTAAACTTTTTCTATTAAAAAAAAATCTTCAGAAAAATAGGTGTCTCAAGTCCACTGATATTGCTCTTTCCAATGTTAATGAAGACTTCTTTCCTAACCTTTTGTTTTCTCGTTTACTCTTACATATACGATCCATTTTAGTTTTTACTACTATTTTAAAGTTCTCCAGAGATGTGGTTTCTGTAAGTTCTTTGTTTGGGACTCTGTAGCAGCACTCCATAAAGTTCAAAGACTTTTGACTCTTCCTAAGACCTACAGGCTTTATTCGCTGGAAGCAATTTTTAATCATTGATCTGAAAAAAAAAGCTGTTATATAAATTTGACAGTTTAGATATTTCTGAACGATATTAGCGGCATGCAGGACATCCACATGAAATTCTTGTATCTAAAGTTTGGTACCTAGTCTTTAAAAAACTTAAGCGGAGTACTAGATTAGTGGCAAGGTCTCATCCTTTTACAGTTGAAATGGCGAGATGCAACCGGATGTTTTATGCTAAAAATTTCTTCTCTCACATGTCTCGCTTGTAGAAATCTCTCCCAGCTTCTTGCTTTCCAATCAACTTTTATTTGATCTTCAAAACTAAAATGTAGTCTTAGTGGTTTTATTGCTTTGCTTGCGAGTAAAATGATTTAAAAAATAGCCAGACGGCTGATTTGAAATTTGGGTTTTCTTTCTCCTAGATTGGTTGCCAGCCAAAGCTATAATGCTTAGTCTGTTCTGATGTATTTACCTATAGCTGGTGGTGGGTAGAAGAGATCGATTCATTCCTTTCGAAAGAATATTTACGCGTAAGTGAATGTAACCAACTTGACATTAATTCGAACTCGGCTCTCAGATTATCTCATTCCGAGCCACTCTTTATTACACCACCGCGCATCCTTTAGCTGTTAATGCAGAATGAAAACACCCAATAAAACTTGAAATCAAATACGGTGCCCATATGATGACTATCAAGATAACAAAAAGATAAAATTCACCGAGAGCTACAAAGGAGAGGAAATTGTGGTGGGCCATGATCACCAACATTCTAAAGGGTTATATAAATTTGACAGTTTAGATATTTCTGAATGATTTTAGGGACATGCATGACATCCATATGAAAGTCACGATCTTGTGATGCTATTTAAGAATATGATTAATTTTAGGCTAATATTTTCGTTTAGTAGCAATTTGCAGTACGGGTAAAATTTACCCTTAATACGGCCTATTTTATGTTCAATTTCCTTATCTCCTTTACTAAATTTGTAATAACTGATCGAGGTATTTGAAGCTTTTAGTATTTATTAATTCCATATACTGATATTCTTCTGGTTGATCCCGGGTAGCAGCCTCCACCGCATCCATTCAAATTCCATATTGTAGTTTATATTTTGGAAAGGTATATCTTGAGTCGTATTTCTTGGAATATCTTGCAGAGGATGCTGATTTTTGTTCAACATCATTCTTATCCCAACCATGAATACCATAACTTAGTAAAAAAGAATCTGTTCTACTAAATTTTGACCAGAAACCTAAAATAAGTATCCCATCGGTTATTATATACCACCGTTCAGTAAATACTGTTTGCCAGGTAAACTCACAATAATCGTATGTTTATGTGTGTGAGCACTAGGCTCATACCATATTTGGTAACAAAATTAGGTTCTTTTTGTTGTTTTCTACCGCATATCATGACCTTTTTTATGGTCACCTTAAAAACAGTTGCAATCTCCGAAATCGGTCATGTCTAACATACCAAGTCTACAAGATTATTAAATGCTATGTATTTGCTAGAAATTTCTATTAACAATTACTCATCAACATCATTTTATCAGAAACTGTATCTCAAATTGTGCAATTAATTACTAATAAAAAATAAATAAAAATGGGAAAATTTTATTTTAAAATTTAATGTGAAATTCCTTTCACAAGAAAAAGAAAAGAAAAAATAACTGATTATTTTTCCTCCAGTTTATCAACTTTTGCAGACTATTTAAAGCCAGAAAATATTTTTCGATTGCAAGATTTTTTTATATAATAATGTTTTAGTAATACAAGCCTTACTAATTAACGCATATATTGGGGGAGTAGAGGTAGATTCATACATTTCCCAATGGTATTTGCGCATAAGTGAACATAACGGACCCAACGGAAATTGGATATCGGCTCCCCGATTAACAGTTCCCAGCGATTATCTATTACACCACCGGCCAAGCTTAGAACACCTGGTATTCCCAAGCGGTCACCCATCTAGGTACTAACCAGGCTCGACGTTGCTTAACTACGATGATCGTACGTGAACCAGCGTTTCAACGTGAAAAAAGAAGATATCTAGACTGGGCGACAACTATTTTGCAAAGAAATGGATTTGGAATTGTAACTCTAAAAAAGACAAATGCTTTATCAGATGTCTTTGTATAATGTGTTCCAATAAATTGAACAGATTTTAAATGTGAATTAAATTTAAGAGTCTAATGATTTTTTTTTTTTTCTTTAATATTTAACAGCTTATGTCTTTGGTAATTTCAACCATGGAAAGATTAACAGTGAAACAACGTGTTAAATTTATCGAAGCCTATTTGCGAAAATGGACGGTGAAATTTATAAATATACAGCCCAATGATTCGGCTAGCAAAAAAAATGCACACTAAACAGTGACCTTTTGTAGATGCAGTGGCTTTTCAACAATCTTCCTTGGATTTTCATCAGCCTAAATGTGATAATTCTGCTTATTAACGAATCCACCAAGATGAAAATGGGATTCATCACTAAAGATGATTTTTTTGTGAAAAATCTTCATCGGCTATTCTTTGCTCGTGCACCCAATTGACAAGTGTATGACACTCAAAATGGTCATCAGGTTTCAGTTCTTGGGTCAATTGAATTTTGTAAGCGTGTAGAGACAAATCTTTTGTCAAAATTCGATGTAACGTTGTTGTAGAGTGGTTCAATTCCTGCACGCGATGACGAATAGAATTGTCTGGATTTACAACCACATTCTCGTGCACTGCAGCAATGTCTTCAGATGAACGGCGTAAACGAACACCTAATAATTGTTTCACATCTGCTACCGGACCCAGTTTGTTTGAATTTACGAACATTTTTTCCCAATTGCACCCCCGGTTAGTCGATTATTTTGATCAAAAAATCGCGAAGTGCGCGAAATGCATTTCTGATTGAACATCCATTTTCATAATGCGCTTCGATAACTTTAACACGTTGTTTTATTCTTAATCTTTCCATGGTTGAAATTGCCAAGAACTTAAGTTGTTAAATCAGAAAGAAAAAGGAAGAAATCATTAGACGCTTAAACTTAATTCGCATTTAAAATCTGTCCACGTTATTGAAACAACCTATATAATTAAACAAACAAAAACAAACACAAAATGAACCAGGATATTTCTTATATTAATATTCACCCAATACAATGCCCAAGAGACACTCAAGGTAGAGGGTTATTATGTGTTGTTACATGAGCTTAAAATGACAAGTTCATGCGGTTATTCAGGAAATACAATGAAGTCAATATTGTAGTGATTGTGAAAATATCCTGCCGAGCGTCTGTTCGACAAAGCAGCCGTTCTTGAGAATAATATCTCCGAATGGAACTTCCTCCTTACTAATGGAATACGAAGGAAATAGGGGTGATTCCTACTTGTGTACGTGGCATAATGGCTTCCAGTTGCAATGGTCAGAAATATAGCTCATCAGCATGATAGAGTAGCGAGAGGCTCGCGGTGTTTCGTCTGTTGGAAAGAGGTTATAGGTTGGGAAATAATTCATCACCCACAAGGCCGCGTATACGCTTTTGAACTCAAAAACAGTCAAGTGAGGACTTGGCAGCTCCAGATCAGCAGTACTCTCTTTTTGATCTGATCTAGCTCTTGTAAAAATAGATTGTATCAAGAAAGTCATATACTTACAGCAAAATGACAAGGAACTGGCAATTTTTGCCGGCATCTTTAGCAAGAGATCATAAATGTGATTTGCAGATTAGGTCTGGGGAGAGCTTGTGTCCAAATAAATGGACAAGGCGAAGATGATGAATGTATGGCTTTAGATGATAAATTACAGAGTAATCCGAAGCTCTTGTCACCCCTATCTAATATAATTTTCTATTTCAGATGGCTGACACGAAAATGATGATGTTCATACAAGCCTTCTCGATGTGTGACAGCGTCAATGAAAAAAAAAATAAAAAACTAAATCCAGTACATGTGCTTTGTATTACTATATTACTTGTCCTCATTACTTTTCGGTTGGGCGGGGACAAGACTTTCGGACAACCCTAGAAAAATTCTAACGAAGATTAATAATAGAAACGCAAAATTTCGTAGTGTTAGCGTACATTGTATAAATGAGACTTTTGTTTTATATTTCTATCCTGAATTGTATTGTTTGTTAACCAGAGATAAATAAAAAAAATTAATAATAAAGATTATCTTTATGGGTGTGGAGTATTTACTTGATCTTTTCCACCCCCATATCTACCCTAAGGTCTGTGCCTAAGGCGGCTGCTGATTTAGCCCTTCTAGAGAGCCCCTGTACCAGAGGTGCACAATGGTCACTACTAAGACATTGAGTCATGATCTCTTGAAAGTGATTCCACTACTATTGCACAAAATTTGAGCAAAGCAAACAATTACCGTTATTTTCTGACAAACAGACACGTGTGACAACAGAAAGATTACACCAGTCATCACAAACGCTAAGGCAAAACAGACACACCTTTATTCTAGTATCTTTTAAATATTGTTAGTAATTTGTATATATATGTGTGCATACATCTATCTATCTATCTATCTATCTATATATATATATATATATATATATATATATATATATATATATGGGGGTGCGTGCGTGCGTGTGTATGAGGTGGGGTGTATAATATACAGAATTGTAGATGATGGATCAAAGGGCAAAAGCTATAAGAGACGTGTTTCGCAGGCGTCAGATCAGAATCAGAAACAAAACAGCGTTTAAGAAAAAATGGGTTGTGATATTTTAGGATAAGAGAAGTAATAAATTAAATTAGCTTATTAGATTCTACGACCAGAAAACAGAAAGTGTTTTTTATTTTTTATTTGATATATTTATTTATATATATATATATATATATATATATATATATATATATATATATATATATATCAGTTTCATGGCGTCAGATTCAAGATTATAATCAATCATCAGACCATCTAAGCCTAACAAACTGTAACCACTGGGTGTTGTCTTCAATGTCCACCTTTATATTTGCATACGCTCTATCCCTGATATTGATTATTATAGACCCAAATATATGACATACATTAAGAATATATTTTTATATATATATATATATATATATATATATATATATATATGTGTGTGTGTGTGTGTGTGTGTGTGTGTGTGTGTGTTGTCATCCACAGATAGACTATTCCGCTGTATCACAGCTCATCAGTGTGGCTAGACATCCGACTGCCTTATTGATCGAAACCCGACTTATTTGGCATCAGTCGGAGATTTTTCCCTTAAGCTATCAGCTCCCGGCAGAAAGGAAGGTGAATTTTTACGTATTTATTTTTCAATAAACACGCCAGTAACTCATAGTGCTTGATTCATTATATATATATATATATATATATATATATATATATATATATATATATATATATGAACTGTTTTTTTGTGCGTATATATAAATACACTGACTTGCCAAATGTCATTGGGTAGCAGAATGTCAAAGTAATGGTAGGTGGCACCACCGTACCTTGACGTCATCTAAATACCCAAATTTATTACAGCTGGCTCCTCATGTGTGTCAGTGCGTATACAGACGAGACTGCTAATAACAAGGCGAAGGTAAGATGTGTTTAATTGAAATATGGAAATACTTGACAGCGTAGTGACCGACTACGTGTTCGTCATAATCCTAACCAGAAATGTCTGGCTAGAATTGTTTGACGTCACATGCAAATCACAATGACTTCAAACATATCCCCATTCATAGCAAACATATATATCCAGTACGTCCACCTAGCATTCTTTAACTTGCATTAGGTATGGTAACAGGAGATCGAACAGAGTGCCCTGTTAACAACACAGACAGGAAAGAGCACCCCACCGTCCCTAGTTGAAACCTAGAGGTCATACAAAGTGCAGTTTGTTTAGAGGAGTTACATATCAAGTTTCGATCTGATAAGTTTTGAGTTTTGCACAGATCCAATAAGGGCATGGATCTCATTTGTCAACTCTGCATCAAGCAGTTTGGTGATGATTCCATTATGATCTGGAGTGTGAATACGTTGCACTTGTTGGGTCTGGTGGTTCATTTAAACATTTTGTTGACCAATGATTAGTAAAGTGCGCTGTTCGTAACCCTTTGCACCCATTCATGAACACCATTTAGCCCCAACAGCGATTGGTTATTTCACAAGTATAATTAACTGCATCATTGGATCCAAGTTACCCAGAAATATTTTGAGGAGTATTCTTTCCTATTATATCAACACACACACACACACACACACACACACACACATATATATATATATTTATATATGATCACATCTACTGATTGCTAGATTGATCTCATGCCGAGCAAACGTGATGGTCTCAACATTCGCAGTCAAGAAAGATAAAAAAAATAATACATAAACCCAAGTTCTGAAACAAATATTGGGCAGTAAATATTGGAGTATACCAAAAGTAGCGATTTTTTAATAAATAGCGTTTAAACACATGGTTTCATTTATTGGACCTCATTTCCATTGTTTAAATGCAGCAAAAATGATCGCATGCGATGACAAATGAATTGTTTTCAAAAAGGTGGAGCGAAAAAGATCCTGGGGAAACCAAAATAAAACACCATTAACCCATCCAAAATCCAGTCTGCGTTCAAAGAAGGGATCTTATGCAACTGGTGTTATTGGAAGAGCATTGTGTATTACGAGGTTCATACGCAAACTTAGACGTTACAAGTACTGTTCTGAACTGGACAACAAGTTAATGAAAAGTGTCGGTAATTGGCGGACTACACGTGCGTTGTCTTCCATCAGGACAATACCAGACCTGACGTCTTTGTGCAGACGCGGCAGAAATTGGTACAGATTAGATGGAATATCCACCGTACTCACCAAACCACACTGCTTCGGATTGCCATTTAATTCGATTCTTGCAAAATTCATGATAAGAAATTCAATCTCCTGGAAGCATGTAAAAAACAATTAAAGAAGTTCAAAATCCAAAATTCTGTCAAGATTGAATCATGAATCAAAGATGGCGAGGGTTGATGGAACAAAATGACAAATATGTAGTGAATTAAATTTG